AAGATGTAAAGAATATCCATACTGGTATTAATTAGTAACAGCTTCCAAACCCTACAATGCTGCCAAAGTTAAGTTTTTATAAAAATAGGTGATACTATATTTAACTATAATAAGCCAGTGTGGTGGTCAAATCTATTGAAAATAACAAGAGGAAACATAGTAACTATGGAAGATCATCTATATTGTGGTCTTATATGTTTTATCCATTGCATGTTTTTCTAGAAAATTGTTTTGCTGTCTTGCTATGACTTGGTTTTCCCTATAACACAGAGAGGATAGATATATATGTAGAAATTCACACATGGGTTCTTTTTTTCTTTTTAATTATTTATGGGAACAGATTATATAATGTAAGATGTAAAGAACAGATACTCTGAGGAAGAGATGCTAAGAAACCCGAGGCTAATTTAGTAGCATTATGAGAGAAATTCTAGCAATACTAATGTTTGCTGATTAGAATGACATTGGACTGGTTTCTTGAGTTCAATTTCAGCATATGTAGAGATGGGGACAGCTATCACAAAGAGAAGGAGAGATGCGTTGGTAGTTACTATTGTCTTCCCTAATTTGGTACTTGAGGACCTAAAAAGTCTTCAATGATTTGATTAGTTCTATAATATACACTATAATATACACTTATATACACAAGTATATAAGGTGGGTGAAGATGGGGACAACTATTTGTAAGAAACTAGAGACAGTTAGATAGACAATCAAGATCTCCAGTGGGCCTGCTACGAAATCTGTATTTCTTTAAATTGTTTTTTTAACTGCTATGTTCTGTTTTGATATGTTTAATCTTACCCTCTTTGAGAAGTAAAACAAATGTGTAGGACTGATAACCATGTTACTGAGCTCTTGTTCGATCATAGAGTAGAAGGGTTTGTAGTGTCACTTTATGAATGTCATTCTAAATGCTTTAATTCCATAACATGAACAGCTACTTCTAAGATGACAATGTGTAACTTATCAACCAGCAATTTCTTACCGTTTGTTTTTCTGTAAGTTTGTATCATTTCTACCCTTTTTTAAAATCTCCATGTATTCTTTTGTTTCCTTTTCTTTAAATTATAAAAAAAAAAGAATTTTGGGCGCAGAACGGAACCATCTGATAGGATTTTCGGCGTGCCTGAAAAGATAAGAAGTATGAAATAAAAATGACCTTTATTTTAAGAATGTGGGGAGTGACCCCCTGACTCTCCAGGGTCTGGCATTCTCTCTGAGGGACACAAGGTGTGGGGGCACACATGTAGCTTAGGCTTAGGGTGGTGCCTAAAGGGCATTAGTGATGCACGGGAGCCCATTGGTATTCATTTGGCTCCACAGGGAAATTGCCTAGGGGCAAGAAAAGGTGACCTCAAGATAGAGCCCCCTGTTGTGCCTCCAAAGCTTCACAGGCTACAGTGTCCCATCTGGGGCAATATTCTTTCAGAAAAGATCAGGAAAAAGTCATATTCAGCGAACTTCTCTTTCTGCAGGTAAGTTTCTGGAGGGCAGTTGGTGGTCCCCAGGCCAGGCTGGTCCCATACTGACACACTGGGAAACCTTTGGGTGTTTGTATGCTGTTCTCTCCATGGTGGTCTCAGTTGGCCCAGTTTGAGCAGAACCTTCCTCTTCATTCCCCATGTCCCGCAGGGCATTGATCAGAGTGGACTTTCCTGTTCCACTCTCCCCTGTCAATTCTATGCTCAGTGGAGATTTATCGATGTCTTTCAAAGCAGAGCTAACTATAGAAACTGCTTTTGGAATGTCCCCCTTCTCCAGAAAGTACTCAATCAACCTGCTGGCTTCCTCTGAGAGGACTTTGCTTTCCTGCTTGAAATTTTTAAAATACTCGCTGAAGCTGGAGGCTAAGGTCTTACTCTCTGTGCTGGAGTCTGCGGAAAACAGTTGGCCCATGGCTGTGAGCAGTCCAGGACTCTAGAAAAAAGACACAGTGGGAAGGTACATAGGATGTTGTTTGGTGTCTATGGCAATGGATGGAAGCATTTTCTATGCCAGGGGACTGGGGAAGCCCTGGTGTCACCAGGTGGCTGAGTGACCTCTTAGCCACTAATGGACATGGAGTTGGTGCCACGGGCTCCTCTTCTCATAAACAAGAGGGGAGACCTTGCCAGCTGGCAGCTACAGGGGCTTCTCCTTGTTATGTGTAAAGCAGATCCCTGGAGCTCCTTTGAGAAATAAAGTGTTTTGCAGTATACAGCCAGCAAGCCCGGGAGCTGGACAGCCACACGCAACCAAAGGGGAACCGACTAGGGGCACCTCAGCCACGACACACGTTGGCTCAGTGCTGGGCATTTCCAGGGGATGTCAGTGGGGAGGACACGTGGGAGGGCATGGGCGTGTCTGCAGAGGCTGGTCCTGAAGAACTGAGCAGACAGGGAGAGTGGGGGTCCAGTGCCAGGAACTGGAGGAAACAGAGGTGGACATCCACTTCTGCCCCTGTGCGAATGTCAGCCACACAACACCCATGCTGCTGTGCTCTCTCCCACATCATTTCACAGTGCTTATGACTACTTCCTTCTCAACAGTCCACTTGTGGCAGCTGGGCAGAGCCCTTCCCAAGGTGCCTGTCCCCTCGTCCTAGAGCCATTCAGACTGCGCTCACGGAGTGTGAGGTGGAGAGAGACTGGGGAGAGGGGGAGGAGGATTTATTAAGGGCCTTGAGTGGATATCCATTCATAAATCCTCCTGGCATCCTGGTGGCTGTGCAAGACCATTCTAAGGTTCCTCCCAGTCACATGAAGGCTCAAGGACTCTGACAGGTTGTGTCCTAACTGTGATCTAATCCTTAGCAAACCAAGGTCAGGGCTGGGATCCAAGGGAAAGTCCCCTCCAAGTGCAGAGCTCTTTAGCAAGAGCCAAAGGCCAAGGCCAGCATTTGGTGGGGAGAGGTCCATCCAGGGATTGGAGTAGAAAACACGGACCCCTCAGCACCTCTGGTTTGATGAGAGCCCTGGGCTCTGATTGAGTGTCTAGGTGTGAGTCGGGGATGTGTGCTGCCAGAGGTTCTCGGGGCTGGCCCTGCCACTGTCTTTCACAGGGTCCTTCAGCAGTGCAAGGGAAAAGCCTGTCTGTGACCGCTGCCTGACAGTATCCGAATGCTTGCACTGTCTGTGTGGTTTATAGCTGTCCACGCACCACCCCTCCTCAGCTTGCGTACCCCTTACAGCCCAAACTGAGCAAACAGTTTTTCCCCCCTCACAGCCACTGAGCTACCTATTCTTAGGTCTCCAGTAATTCCAAAATTTTTTCTCACTCACCAGGTTCTTGGAGAAAACAGGTTTCTGCTGTCAGAGTTGAGCTCTTGTATATATCCACTGGAAGAGCTGAATGTGCTGGGTGTGGTGAAGCCCTGCTGCCCACACCTGCCCTCACCTGTCCACCTGTTTTATGTCTGGTTGTAGATTTATTTTGGTTATGGCTAGTTGGAGTTCTACGTGGCTTACTTAGCTGCGTGTCAGATCCTTTCCCCATGCATTACAAGTTTTCTGCATTACTTCCGTAAATAGTCTTTTAATGTCATTTATATTGACTGCTTTTTTGCCGACACCTACCCTTCATAAAATATTTTTCTTTCTATCATCTTGCAGCCGTTGAATTGTTATTTGCAGGTTCCTTGGGATTTTTAAGAGATCTTTCTTTTGTGATCACCAGCTGCCATCCTGTCTTCAAGATCTGAAAGTCTCTCTTCAGTTTCTTTCAGGCATTTTAGCCAGCTGTTAATGGAAGTTTTAATTTCCTGGATGTCTCTGTGACTCTGTTTCCCGCACTGTAATTCCTTTCCAATGTTGTTCATTCAAGGTTTCCATCACTTTCCAGGGCTCCTCTTGTTATCTAGGTCTTCTTTAGATGTGCCCAGCATTTCCTTCACTGTGCTTGCCATTTGTTGATTTACCTGAGATGTTATTTTTCTGATTACATTCAGAGCCTCATGAAATTGTTCTTTATTTCAGTTGCCATCTCTTCAGAAATTACAGGAGTGTGACTTTCAGCTTCTTCTGTGTCTGTGTCTCATGGAATTGTTCTCTGAGGCTCGGAGGTCTGAGACCTCCTTTTGCTCTTTCGTCTTGGCATTTTCCTGAGTTCCTGCTGATGAAGCAGTTGTGGGTCTCAGGCTCCCCACGTTGGCTGTCATCCACAGTGCAGAAGGGTGGGCGATGCAGCTGGGTTTCTCCTTACCTAGGTTCCCAGGGAGGCCCCGGCTTCCCCATACATAGACAGCTACACTGAGGCTCCCTTAATGTCAGCTGGCATGCACAAGCTGGCCAGCTTGTTCTCCCAGCCAGTGCTGGTACTGGGCCCCGTTGGTGGCTGGCAGGCTCACAGGGGCATCTGTGCTCAGTTTCTTCTTCTGGTGTTTACTGTTCTGAAGCGATGTCCACGTTACATTCCGGAGATGTGCTGGGTGTGGAGCTGATCTCAGCCTCTGGATGTGGGGCTGGGACTGGTGTCCATTGGTAGAGGTCTCCAGAGCCCAACTGCTGCCTCCTCACTGCTGATTCCACATTACTGGCTTCTCTCATCACTTGTCCTCCAGAGGTGTGTGTGCATTCTGTGCCAGGCTGTGGTCCTGGGTCCTGGGGTTCCCATCAGTCTTACACTCTTGCAAATGGCCTCCCCTCTGGGATGCAACAGATGAGGCTCAGATTGCAAACTCACTGCCTTCCAGCCAGGCCTCCCTGTGGGATGGGATGGAGGGGAGCAGAACACGGACTCCTGTCTCCCAGCTGGGTCACCCTCCAGGATGTAATGGAGGAGTGCAGAGATCCACTGTCCTTCAGCCAGGCCATCCCCTGGGATATAACTAAGGGGCACAGAGCATGGACCCACCGTCCTCTGGCTGGGCCACCCTCAGAATGTCTGTGTTCACTTTGTTTATCTCTCAGTTTGACTCTTGTTTCAGATTCCACCCGTAAATGACACCATGAAATATTTTCTTTTCATGTGAGGCTCCCTTCACTTAATATAAAGTCATCAGGTTCATCTCTGCATTGGACAGGGGACAGAGACTGACATGAATCCCATGGCCAGTGAGGTAACCAATGGTGGCACCCAGTGAGACCCTAAATGAGACCCAGCAGAGTCCCTGGATGCCAAGGCCCCTAAGACTCTGTGAGTTATGAATGCATCCATAGGTTGTGGGCCAACAAGTCTGCACCCATGGGAGAGGCTGTGGAGCTCTGTGCCCCCAGACCCTGCCCCTATGAGCCCTCTCTGGGCAAACACAGCAGCCTCTTGCTTTCTGTGAGTTCTTCTAATGCACGTTTGGATTTGAGCCCCTTGTTTATCTGTTCCTGCCTAGAGTCCCAAGTTCTGCTGGGAGTCTACAGTAGGTTAACAGAGACAGTCCTTGAACAGGAAACTCCAGTGCCAACTCTCTGCCAGGGACAGGGACATGGCCCACACCTGCTGCTGCCTGGGCCTCACTGCCATGGAGTCTGGTCTGTGGGAGCTCACAGGGAGGCCCTGAGTGGTGTCAGCCCAGGGCTCAGCCCCCTTCTGTGAGTCTGGCTCAGCTCCTGCCTGGCCAAAGCTGGAGTCTGCTCATGGTGACCTGTGCCCAGGCCCTGGGACGCCCTGTTCTCTCCCCACACAGCAGTCCTCCCCAGTCCCCGAAAAGCAATGAGAAACAATGACCAGGGTGCCTCTCACTTCCCCTGCCTGGCAGTGGCCCTGCTTCCGGGAAGAGCACCTTCAGTGTCACTTTCCTGTCCCTGCAGGGTCAGGGCCCTGAGCTCTGGGCTCCTCCCTTCCCTGCTGCTGCTCAGATTCCTGCCTGAGGAGGGAAGAGCCTGGGGAGGTTTCAGTCCTCTGCTCCTCACTCAAGGTGCAGTTTTCCTGTGTGCTGAGCCTGGCCCTGACCTGCACTGCCCAGGGAGGACAGGTGTGGGCAGCAGGGCTTCACCACACCCCGCACATTCAGCTCTTCTAGGGGATATACAGAAGAGCTCCACTCTGACACCACAAACCTGTTTTCTCCAAGGACCTGGTGAGTGAGAAAATATTTTGGAATTAATACATGCTTTAAAAATAGAAGTGGAGATCAGTAAGTCTGAAGAGGGGAGAACCTGGACTCTTGCTTCCAGGCGTTATGAACTCAGAAGGGTGAGGAGGGGGGGAGGGGAACAGCCATGAACCAAGCCGAGAGTTTTAATACTTTGGATGTTTCCAGAGGCCTGTCAGGCTGCCCTTTGCACTGCAGAAAGGTCACGTGACAAACAGCAGTGGCCGTGAGAAGGGTCCTCTACTGAGACTCCAGCCTCACACGGCCATCTAGGCACCTGAACACTTCCCGTTGGGAGACAAGGGCTGTCCTCCAACCAGAGGGGTGCAGACCCCGGCCGTCTTCACTCTGGGCCTCGGGGACTCCCGTCCTCACCAAATCGTGTGTGTGTCTGTGTGCTGTGCCTCTGCAAAGAGCTCTGAGCTTGCAGGAGGCCTGATTGGCCTTGAATCCCAGGCCAGACACTTACTAAGGGTCAGTCTGTGGTTGCCTCCCACCACTCAGTATCTTTGAGCCCTGAGCTGAAGGCGAAAATCATTAGCGTCTGTCCAGCCACTAGGGTGAGATGAGGAATTGTGTGCACGTGTGCACGCACTGCTGAGGTTTCCCTGAGCAAGGCTGACTGTGGTGTGCCTCCCTCCCTCCCACTTCTCTCCTGCTCACACCCGGCTGACACTCCTAACCGCTCTACATCGAGGCCCCAGGAATCCTGGGGAGTGCTTTGCCCTGGCTATGGCACCTTAATTGTGGAGCAGAAACTAACATTTAACAGAGGTCCAGGCACAGCGTATGGCTCTGTGTGGCACTTGGACATCAGGCGTGGCTCTGTGTGGTCGGAATTTGCTGAAGCCACAGATTTGTATGTCCTCACCTGTTCTCTCCCATTCCTGTCACTTGGTCCCCGCTCCCTTATGTGCTCAGCACCAGTCTCAGCAGACACTTCCAAGCCCTCTGAGGTGACCCCACCCTGACACCTCTAGAAATGCACAAGGTGATGCCCCGAGGCTGAGGTCTCGCTAGCCCGGTCCTCACTGAGGCCCTGGCTGGACACTGCTCTCTAACTGTCCGGCTATCTGACTCTGTGTTTTGGGATTCTGTTTTCAGAGGAGCTGCAGGGTGCGGGGCGGGGAGCTGCTTTCCCACCAGAATGTGTTGGCCATGCAGCTGCCAGCACTCAGAGTTCCCCTCCCATTCCGTGAGAGACCCCCGATGTGTAGGCAGAAGCGCTGACAGTTGGCTCATTCGTGGCTACTGCATCCCTGCTGCCTGGTGACATCAGGCCTCCTCACTTCCACCTCCACGGAGTAAGCTTGCATCCCTGGTCACGGACGCTAAACCAGATCTTGTATGCGTGCCCAGAACAGTTATTTCTCGGAGTGTCCTTGCTACTCCTGCCCTCTGGGCTGCAGCAGGTGACTTCCAGGAGGCCCTGGAAGGACGTGCCCAGTCCCAGACTTGCAGCCAGAGGCACTACTTCAGCCTGAGTGCTGCCCGGATGTCAACTTGACTTGAGGTTTCTTAGGTCCTGGCCTAAAAATTCTGTGCTTGCTCTCTGTGAGGTGCAGGTCTTGTACCTCGCTCATTATATTTAGTCCTGGGCATATCTTTCTTGGTACATTGTCTTAAAGGAATGATTCTTCCATTATCAGGCCCAGGCTGTAGAACCAGGACAAGCCACTGCCTCTGGGGAGGTGACAAGGCCTCCTTAGCTAGCTGCATGTGGCAGGACCCCTTCTAGCCCCTCCTGCAGCCTTTGCTCACACCTGTCCTCTCCTGTGACTCCCTCTGCCCTGACAGGCCCAGCAGCTTCCCTCTCTGCCTGGCTACCTTTGGTGAGGGCTCTCCAGAGGAGGCAGGCTGGCTCCTGGAAAACCCCAAGCAAATAATCCCCATGTTTTCCTTTCTTTCTGTTCATACCTCTATTGTTTAGAATACTTTTCATTTTAGAAAAAATATTTGTAGACTCTGCAGAGGCTTCTGCAGAGACACTGTCCGCGTCCTCCTCCGGAGTACAGCAGAGGGGCCCACCATGACGTAGCCTCAGCGGCCCAATGGGAGCTCAGACTGGCTCTCGGAGCCAGTTGTCGACGGGTGGACTAACATACGGAGCCAAATGTGTGGTCACACCAGCTGTCTCTCGTCTAAAGTCCTTTGTGCTGGGCCTTCGCATGCCAGCCTTCAGCCCCTGACAATCCCTGAGTTTTCAAATGTTTCATAATGTTGCCTTTTCTAGAAGCTCATGCCTGCGTCCATCTCAGTGTCTTCTCGGTGAGGGGTCTGCTAAGGTTTCGGCTCCTTTTTCATAGCGTTGTTTGTTTTCTTATTGTCCGGCTTTAAGAGTCCGCTGCACAGTTTGAGTTATACTATTGCAGGTCGCTTGTAACTGTTTTTCTTGAAACACGGGCCCGGCTGGCTCCAGACCCTTTGCGCTGAGCTGTGCCCCGGCTAAGTGTGCCAGGCTAGTCCTGCATCGTGGCCCTCCTGCCTCTGCCTCTCAGCCTACTGGGATCACAGATGTGCACTGCCACACGTGGGTGTTTGCAGACACTTTTTGGCCAGTCCGCAGACTGTCTTCGCTCCCTTGCTACTGCCTTACACAGTGAAAACTCTTAAATTTTAACGAAGTGCACCTTGTTGATTTTTTCATGTTTATCTTTTCTGTTCTTTTTTTTTACCCACCTCCTCCTGGGTCCTACGGGTTTTGTCTTGTTGCCTTCTTGGATTTCTGTGGTTTTGCCTGTTACATTTAGGTCCATACCCAACTTAGGTTCAGTTCTGTGAAGGGTGTGAGCTCCGGATCACAGGGCCGGCCTGGGCCAGCGCTGCTTCCAGAGGGAACCCTTGGTCCTCTGGGTTGCCTTCGCCTCTTGTCTAAGCTCCCTTGACTGCGCTCCTGTGAGTTACGCTGATTCTGTGCCTTGCTCCACTCGGTACCTGTCTGTTCTTTCACAAGCACCACACTGGCGTGACCATTGTAGCTTTAGGGTCAGCCATGCAGCCAGGCGTCACCTTCACACAGCAGAGGGACGTGGTGCTCAGCCGCTACCTTTTAGATGGCCACCGCATGCAGTTATTTTCCTAACAACGAAAACAGCTAAAACAATATAACTAGTAGGAGACACAGATATTTCCACAGGACATCAGACCTTGAAATTAGTGAAGAGATCCTGAAGGAGCAGGGCAGTCCAGGCCCTGAATGAGCCTGGGGCGGGGCCAAATCTGCACCTGGCCCAGAGGTGCAGGCCAGGCCTGGGGGCCCAGGGAAGGGGCTGGGGGGAGGCTCTGTGGGGATCTAAGAGGAAGCCCGAGGCCTCCCTGCTGTGCCAACCCCTGACCTTCCCCTGCAGCTCCCTCCAGTGCGGTTGGCACCCCCAGGTCCTCCTCCTGCATACCGTCTACATAGAGGACGCCACTTCTGCTTGTTACAGCCTTTGCACGGTTTGTAAAAATTTGAAGATGAAGAGCCAAACCTCCTCACAGCAAGCCTGGGGTTTCATTCGCTCACATCTGGAGCAGGGGAACCTTCGGGAAGCGGCTTCTGCAATCAAAGCTGCCCTGGAAGACATGGAGAATGAGCCCCTGAGCATCGCAGTGACAGGGGAGAGTGGAGCAGGAATGTCCACTTTCATCAATGCCCTGCGGGGGACGGGGGATGAAGAGGAAGATGTGGCTCCCACGGGGCCGGTGGCGATAACCCTGCAGGCAACTGCGTACACTCTTCCAAAGTGCCCGGGGGTGACACTGTGGGACCTGCCCAGCCTCGGGCGCCCTGACTTCCCACTGCAGGAGTATCTGAAGGAAATTCCTGAGTGCGACCTCTTCTTTATCATCTTTGCTACCCGCCTCAAATGCATCGATATAGAGTTGGCTAAAGCTATTGCACAAATGAAGAAGAAGGTGTACTTTATTCAGACGAAAATTGATAATGCTTTAGTCAGTTGTCAAAAAGCGCGGCCACTGACCTTTGATAAGGACAAGGTCCTGCAAGAGATCCGAAATTACGGTCTGGCACAGTTGGAGGAGGCCAGGGTGGCAGCCGATAAGATCTTCTTGGTCTCCAGCCTTGATGTGTGTGCCTACGACTTCCCTGAGTTGCAGAGCACCCTCGTGAGGGACCTGCCTGCCCACAAGCGTCACGCCTTCATGCAGCGCCTGTCCAGCGTTACGGAAGCCGCTGTCAATGGGAAGAGAGATTCCCTGAAGCAGAAGATCTGGCTGGAGGCCCTGAAGGCCGGAGCGTGGGCCGCCGTCCCTCTCGTGGGCCTCTTCAGTGACAGTGAAAGAAAGAAGCTGGAGGACACCCTGAGCCTGTACAGGTCCCACTTTGGGCTGGATGACGAATCCCTAGAAAAGATGGCCCAGGATTTGCACGTGTCCCTGGAGGACCTCAAGGCAAACCTGCAGTCTCCAGACTTGCTGTCAGCCGAGAGCGATGAGTCCTTCTGGGAGAAGACAAAGCAGATGGTTGAGATGGTTCTTTTAGTCACCGGAGGACCCATTGCCACCGGCCTTCAATTTACAAAGACATTTTATTTACAAAATTATTTCCTGGACATTGTGGCAAGTGATGTGAAAGCTCTCCTTGCAAAAGAAGACCTTTTCAGTGCCTCTGTTGGCTCTGCGGGGCTACAGAAAGAGGGAAACTGAGGTGGCCTGAGCCTCCTGCTCTCCTGGCTCAGGGCACTGGGGTGGCTACTGAGGTCCCCTGAGGCAGCTGGCCAGGCTGGATGCGCTCAGATGTGACCCCTGCTGGTGAGCATGGTACAGGAGGCTGGCCTTATGCCAAGAGGAGCGGACATCTCACTGTGACTCCGCAGCCTGCTTCTTCCACACCAGGGACTCCGCTCACCGAAGACGCGGCAGCCAAGAACTGCTGGGCGGTCCGCCACAGCCCAGTATACGTTACAGGGAAGTGTGCATTGCATGTCTGTAATGTCCCTGGTGTTCTGCCACAAGTGTTCATTCCTGTCATTATAGGACAGTCAGTGCTGACTACGGTCCTTCTTGTTCCCTCCGGGTTTATAGTTTCAGGTAAACCTGAAAGGCAGTGAGCTGAGCACTGTGTGTGACCAGATAAGGCAGAGAATCCGCAGCTCAGTGAAACTTTCCTCCAGGGCCCTCCTGTGAGGACAGCGGGCAGGAATGCCTTGCAAGGAGTGTGCACTGCAGCCGGGGATCCCGCTCTTCAACACAGAACGTTCCCCCTGGACTTCAGAGGGTGAGACACCGGAGAGGAGAGCATAGTAATAAAATTAAGCTGGACAAAAAGAAGAGGCATTAAAATTTCTGAAATATATGAAAACATGTCCACCTATTAAGAGAAGTTAAATTAGAAACTACACTAAGATCCAACTTCTCAGCTATTGTAGTTGGGAAAACTGCAAAATCTAATTTATGGGTGAAATTGTAGAAAATGGCATTTTACATATTAAGCTGCTGCCAATAGAAAAATGATTAAAAACCATGCTTGGGAAATTAAACAGTCTGCATGAAATCTCTACATGTGTTTGACCCAGTGAGCCCACTTTGAACACTACGCCACAAAATTTGGAGAAGTGCAAATAGCTAAATGCTGAAGGTTACTGAATGCAGCTGTTGGAAATGGGACGTGGGAAAGATTGTAAACAGCTCGAATGTTCTTGAACAGGTTCCTCCAAAACAGGAGCCTTAATAGCCAGGGCAGGAAGTAGGGATATCCTGCCCACCCATTCCAGAGTGTACCCAGTGCCAGAAACACTGTGATAAGTTGCTTCTGGTTCAAGAAAGCTCAAAACAGAAACATATTTTGCACGTAGGTTAAAGAATGGAAACAACTTTGAAATAAAATGTCATTTTTTGTTTCTTTTGCTGGATTTTGGGTTTTTGAGACAAGGTCTTGCTACGTAGCCCAGGCTGGCCTTGAAGTCATGGCCACCCCCAGCCTCAGCAACCCCAAGGCTGTGATTGCAGGCCTGTGCCACCACACCCAGCCAGACATGATTATTTTTAGAAAAAAGGTGTTTCTGGGTGGAGAGACAGAGAAAAAAGCTGGAGATCATTGAATACATATTATTTTATCTTGTGAGCATGAAAATGTGTGTGTTGGCCTGGGGATTTAGCTCAGTGGTATAAGTATCTGCCCGGCAAGTACAAGGTCATGAATTCCATTCCCGTTACCAAAAAAAAAAAAAAAAACCGAAAGTGTGTGTGTGTGTGTGTGTGTGTGTGTGTGTGTGTTTATATATATAGCTACATAATAAAAATTTAAAACTGTATTTATAGAAATTCAAACCAAAATCAAACAAACTTAACTCAGTCTGTTGGATTAAAGAAAATTTGTTTTAAGCTTTTTAAACATATTATGATGACAGTAAACTTCTGGTGTCTACTGATAGAACAGAGACAAATGAAAGAAGTCCTACCCTCTGTTGATAGCTCTATGGACAGTAACAACGCTAGTTGTAAGGGCATTGTTTTCCTTGGACTGTGGCATGCTGTGACTTTATCACAAAGCAAAAGCAGTAACTATGACACCATTGGTAGCAAGACTTTCATCATAAACAACAAAGATGCAGACATAAAAAAGGAAAAGTAAGTAAGAAGTGGTTAAGGAGAAAACATGTACAAATACGTGACTTTTTTCTTTAAAAACCTGTTTTAATCTGTGCATTTAGAGAAGCCAGAGGAACAAACAACCCAGGAACAGGGAACACTCCAGCATCTACACAGGGCCTTAGAACAGCACGTGACATTGTTAGTCTGGACAGCGATTTAAACCTCAGTTCAGCCAGCACAGAGAAAGGGACATCTGAATCACAGGGTTATACAACAGCGGAAGTGTGCGAAACTGCTGTGGGTGTGTCCGAAGGGCTCAGAGACAACCTGGGAAGGGGACCAGGAGCAGAAGGTCAATCAGAGGACCCATGCCTGACACAGCTGCAGTTGAAACGTCCAAGCTGTCTGAGTCAGTTCTCGTAATCCACAAACAAGTCCCCAAACTCGAGTTCAAAAATGAGGCAAGCGCTGATTTATTTTACCCTGAGCCCAGCGACACAGCGCAGCTGGAGACTGCAAAAGCTGTGTGTGTTGCTCCTCTACACTAGCCACCTTTAAGTACATATCACAATTTATCAGGAAAACTGTTAATGAGGAAGACCTTTGCTTTCCTCAGGAGAGGACAGAGCAGTCTAGCAGTAATTAACAGCCCCTGCTAGCTTATTTTAGCACCACATCTGTTATTTGTAGAGGGCAACAATGGTTAACATATCAGTTAGAGGAGGTTTTACAATTCTTTTTTTTTTTTTTTGTCCTTTTCCTTTTTATCGGTACCAGGGATCCAACTCACGACTGCCTGCTTGCAAGGCAGGTGCTTATGCCGCTGAGCTAAATTCTCAGCCCGGTTTTACAATTCTTTACAGAGGACAGCATTTATTAACATGGCAATTAGGTGACCCAGAGGAAAAGAAACACGCATCTAGAACAGTAGGCCACATTACAGGTATTTTGGTATAATACAAATATAACGAACCTCTTCTTGCTAGAGTACAACTTCAATAAGGTCCCAGAGCAACCAAAGTACACTCACGGATGGACTGCAGTGTGCTAACGGGCCAGCCCTGCTTAAAAACTGGTCTGTGAAAGGCTCTTGCCCTAGAATAAATTCCTGCACCGTGATGGCGGTGGGCTGACGTGGAGGAGGCCAAAGCGGGCCGCCTGCTTCCTGCTGCTCCCTCGGCCCTAACTGCAACCCCCCTTCCTGTCTGCACACAGAATCCCAACCGGCTCCTCAGACAGCATGAATATCCACTGCAGTCCGAGGTCACATCACCCTCTGCCTCTCTGTCCAGGAGAAGGAGACAGCGCAGCGCCGTGGGCTGTGTGCTCCCGTCCACGTCCTCAACTCACGGAAGCTGTTCGTTTTGTACTTTGCTTCTCTCTTGCGCCAGGGGACTCTAAGAGTATCCAAGTGAATAAATAACATTGCTTTTTATAGGGGAGTATTAAAATTGCTTTTCCTATACAAATTGCATCGTAACCAAATGATTGATGAGAACTTGCTCTTCACATCAATTTCCACTGAAAAAGGCAGAAAGAATAATATATTTCAAATGTTCGCATTTTCCAAAGCTTACGTAACTAATGGGAATGTATCTCAGCGCTAGAGTACCTGCCTAGCATGTGTGAAGCCCTGAGTTTAAGCCCTAGGACTGCAAATCAAAACAAAAACAAAAAGTCAAAAAACAAAACTAAAGAAGTAATCAGTTCATACGCAGGCTCACCAAATTGTGTATTTTTTGGTTTTCTCTAAATGTTAAATATCATTGGCAGCAACTTGATTAAAAGCATCGTGTCCTACGGAGCCGCCCCACCTGGCCACCCAGGAATGGGTCTCGCCTTCCAGCTGTGCTGGCCCTGCACACCTCCCCGGGGACACCCACCGCAGTCATGGGGCCGCTTCTCTACCCCAGGCAGGTGCATTTGTAGGGGGGTAATTAGGTTTTTCTTTTTGTCAGTACAAGTTTGCAGAACATAATGATCGCTTCACCTTGGAGAGTCAGGACAGGTACATAAGATTCTAATTCTTTCTACTGCTTCTGTTGGGATGCAAGAGATCTGTTTCAAACAGGGCTCACCACAGTCACAAAGCTAAGAATGCTCTGCACGAGAAATCATTTTCAGGCTTCCACCCTGTTTCTTTTTTTTTTTAATTGTATTTAAATAAAGACAAAACAAAACAGAAAACGGGCAGAAATAGTACATACTTTCAAAGAAAAAAATAAACAGTAATAAATCACTAGTTCATGTTTACATATTATTCCCCACAAATAATTATTCAAGATACAAAAGTGGAACATACAAATGGGAATTCAACCAGGGAGACTGCAAACAGTTTTGTTCAACTATCCAACAAAACCTAAGTCATGTGGCTGTCAATCCTATACACTTAGACATGTACGCATTTTTCCATATCTTCATTTATGTTGAGACCAAACAAATCATAGAGATTAAAATCATTCTGAACAAAGATTCATAGTATTGCTGGATTTCACATGATGACACCCCGGAATCAGCGCTGGGTACTGCAGTGCCCCTTTTTTTCTTTCAAAGTATTTGTTCATTTTATCATGTGTCATAAGATCAGTTCTCATCAAATGTTTATAGATTGTACACATGCATGAGTCTTTACATGTATTTCTCTCCTTTCTATATTAGAGGGAGAAACAGAACAAAGCAGGACAGAACTAAACATAGTCCTATAGACACAGAAAACTATAAAGTCATGTAAAACTGCTGTACAAGGAGTGCTACCATCCACCCCGTTTCTTTAAGGGACCCCGATAACTGCCTGCTGTGCAGAGGTAAGGGCTTGGCCCTGGAGGCTGCCGCAGGGAGGGGTGGACGAGGGTTCCACTACCCAGCCTGAGCAGCACCCTGGGCGGTTCGTGTAACGGTCAGATGTCCATGAGTACTTTCCCTTTGAAAAAGATAGTAATAAAGAAAAGAAAAACATAAAAATCTCTTACCTTAACCTTAACCAAATGTCCCTTTTGGTTTCAGTGAAGCAGCACAGGGCAGAAAGCCAGCCTCCTGCCTGGCAGAAGAGGGGCAGGGCCCAAGGGACCAATACTCTCACACCCAAACAGGACTGAGCCATCAGGGGAGGCCTGTGCTTAGGGTGACTCCCTCCACACACAGAGTCAGCCACAGGCAGGGGACAGAAGTAGCTCCCGCCCACCACTGCTCACAGACAGAGAGGGACCTGGCACAGGGACCTGCTGGCAGGTGAGGCCAGGTGAGGCTCCGGGAGCTCTGTGCTCACACACTGCTCCTCAGCGCAGCATCTCTGCGGCACAGGTCCTGGGGATTTTGGTCTGGCTGGGGCAGGCATCCCTGGCCAAAGGACCTCAGCACCTCCATAGAGCAGCATGGGTGACAGAGGGGACAGTGAGCTCAGGGCCCAGGGCCTCCATCTCTTTCCCCCTCTCTCCTCTGCAGGACAGCAGGGCAGGTGACAGGCTGGACCACAGGGGCCCCTCCGTGCAGCTTGACCCACATCCGGCCTCTGGCTGCAGCAGGGTGACCTGGGCTCAGGGGGGGTGGACCTGCCAGCAGGCCTGTCTGTCCCACAGCAGGGCCAGGCGCCCAGGCTGCTCTGTGCTGCCACTTTTCGAGTCGCTCCAAGTCCCCTGGCACTCAGAGTCCTCCTGTGGTCTTCTTGGGATCACAGAGGGCTTCTTCTTTCCTTCCTTGGCCCCTCTGTTGCTAGCTGCCAGAATTCAGCCCCGTGGAGGCTGCGCTGTGCTGCTGGATTCCACCCCGCTGCCAGCCGCGGGAAGCACAGCGCTGGGCTCACCTGGCAGCACCGCTCCACAGCTCCTGATTTCTACCCTCTGTTACTTCTCTTTCCAACCCCTGCCTACTTTTTCATTCAGTCAGTACATGTTTTACTCCATGTTTTCAATTGTTGAGAGGCAGCTCCCTTTCAGGATGTTAATGCCTCTGGGGTTTACAGTGTGCTCATCTCAGGTAACCTGGCGCACTTGGCCTTCAAACAATACACAGAGCTGTGCTGTGGGATCCTGGGTACATGCAGCATGGGGAGCAACTCCGGGAAAAAACATCCACTGCATGCAGGGGCGGGGCTTGGGGGAGGCGGACTCCTGGAGAGGAAAAGGGACAGGAAACTGGTGTGGATCCTGCAGTTAGAGATCTACCGGACCTTCACAGAGTGAGAAGCCCCAGCAGCTGTCGGGCTGAGGAAGCCATCACAAGCTTGGGGACCTGGGGTGGGCACCCATGGGAGAGGCTGTGGAGCTCTGTGCCCCCAGACCCTGCCCCTGTGAGCCCTCTCTGGGCACACACAGCAGCCTCCTGCTTTCTGTGAGTTCTTCTAGTGCATGTTTGGATTTGAGCCCCTTGTTTATCTGTTCCTGCCTAGAGTCCCAAGTTCTGCTGGTAGTCCACAGTAGGTTAACAGAGACAGTCCTTGAACAGGAAACTCCAGTGCCAACTCTCTGCCAGGGACAGGGACACAGCACACACCTGCTGCTGCCTGGGCCTCGCTGCCATGGAGTCTGGTCTGTGGGAGCTCACAGGGAGCCCTGAGTGGTGTCAGCCCAGGGCTGAGCCCCCTTCTGTGAGTCTGGCTCAGCTCCTGCCTGGCCAAAGCTGGAGTCTGCTCATGGTGACCTGTGCCCAGGCCCTGGGACGCCCTGTTCTCTCCCCACACAGCAGTCCTCCCCAGTCCCCGAAAAACGATGAGAAAGAATAACCAGGGTGCCTCTCACTTCCCCTGCCTGGCAGTGGCCCTGCTTCCGGGAAGAGCACCTTCAGTTTCACTTTCCTGTCCCTGCAGGGTCAGGGCCCTGAGCTCTGGGCTCCTCCCTTCCCTGCTGCTGCTCAGATTCCTGCCTGAGGAGGGCAGAGCCTGGGGAGGTTTCAGTCCTCAGCTCCTCAGTCAAGGTGCAGTTTTCCTGTGTGCTGAGCCTGGCCCTGACCTGCACTGCCCAGGGAGGACAGGTGTGGACAGCAGGGCTTCACCACACCCCGCACATTCAGATCTTCTAGGGGACATACAGAAGAGCTCCACTCTGACACCACAAACCTGTTTTCTCCAAGGACCTGGTGAGTGAGAACATATTTGGAATGGGTGATTATAGAGTCAATAGAGAGTCAGTAGAGAATTAATAGAAATAATACTTTAGAATTAATGGATGGCTTGATCAGACGGTGGAAGTACCTAGATGCTATATTTGGACTAAGGGGGTGGGGTGTGCAGAGGTATAAACTGTGTGGACAGTGTAAGCGTCTAGGCGCTCTAAGACCTGAGTCACAGACAAGGTTTCCCCCATGCACTGCAGAAGGACCCCTGGAAGACACCAGGGCCATGGGCAGAGCCCTTCTGTGAGAGCCTCTGACATTACATATGCCCAACCTTGTATCTAAACCGCCAGAGCACACGGCTCTCATCAGACCAGAGGTGTGGGGGCCCCTTTGCTCTGCTCTGATCCCTGTGTGCACCTCTCCCCCTCAAATGCTGGCTTTGGCCTCTGGCTCTTGTGAAAGAGCTCTGCACTTGGAGGGGGATTCACCTTGGCTCCCAGCCCAGACGTTGGTTTGCTAAGATCACAGTTAGGGTGAACCCTAGGAACGGTCTTGCACAGTCACGAGATAAGGATCTATGTGTCCATTTCCACCTAAGGTCCTCCGTGGTTACCGTCACACTCCAGCCTCCCTCCCCCGAGTCTCTCCTACTCACACTCCGTGAGCGCAGTCTGAATGGCTCCAGGAGGAGGAGACAGGCGTCTTGCAGAGTGCTCTGCCCCAGCCACCACAAGTTGACTGTGGAAAAGGAAGTAATATTTAATAGAAATCCACTTAGATGATGTGTGACCCTTGAACCGTATGTAGGCGGGGCTCTGTGTGGCTGAAATTTGCTCAGGACCCAGAATTGAATGTCCTCAATCTGTTCTCTGTCACTTGGTTCCCACTCTGTTTATCTGCTCAGTTTATCAGCACCAGACTCAGCAGACACTTCCATGTCACTGACGGGGCCCCCCCCCCGCCCTCCCCCGGAAATGCACACAGTGACAGTGACGCCCCGGGCTGAGGTCTCACCAGCTGGGTCCTCGCTGCTCGTGTGTGTCTCTTGGAGAATGCCTGCCTCCTTGATCACACTCTCCAAACCAGATCCAACGGGCACTCAGAAAAAGTCTTTGTCACACTGTCCTTGCTGTCTTCTGTCCTCCTGGGCCGCAAAAGGTGATGTCCAGAAAGCTCTGCACCATGTAGCTGGTCCCACCCTGTTGCCAAGGGCATCTCTCTTCAGCCTGCCCTCTGCCCTGACATCATCCTACTGGAGGTTTCTTGCTTCTAATTGTCAAACGTCTAAACTCATCTCTTTGGGGTTCTGGGTGGCGGTCCTCACGGCACTCATCAGGTTTACTCCCTGGCCTTCGGTTCTGGTTCCTTCTGCTGCCCTGCTGTAAGGGTTAAGGCTTCTGTTGTGAAGGAGGAGCAGGTGTCAAGGAGCCTAGAGCCAGGAGAATTCCGTGACCCCAGAGAAGGTGCAGAGGGGACTCCCTGCCCTGCCTGCCTTCATCAACTCTGTCGCCACACCCGTTCCTCTGCCAGTGATGCTCGCTGCACTACCCAGCCTCTCCGCACCCTGCCCCTTTTAGTACAAAAGCTGCGGTGTGGTGGGGACAGGGCTACCGCTCTGCTGCCCTGGCCCTGACAGAGCCCGAGGTGATAATCCAGCATGTTCTTTCTCTTTTTCTACTACTCTAAGTTTTAGAACAGTTTTAGTGGCAGAGAAAAATTTAAAGGAAACGACAGGGCTTTTCCATGTACTCACTGTCCCTTCGCATGCATGGTCTCACCCATCCTTGGCATCCTCCTCCAGAGTGGCACCCAATACGATCAGCTAATTTAGGGCTGGCTCTTGATGCTGTGCATTCCAGGCTTCAGACAAATGTATGGTGGCGTGTGTCCACTCTTATACTGTGGCAAAAATGTCTTAGTTGCTTTGTCTAAGGTGAGACAAAATATCCAACTCCTGAACTTTATTTGTTTGATTTCAAGAGAAAAAAACAAAACAGAAAAAAAGGGTAGAAATAATACAGAATTTCAAAAATAAACAGTAAAAAAATCACTAGTTGATAAGTTACATATTGTCATCTTAGAAATAGTTGTTCAAATTATAAGATTAAAGCATACAAAGTGACACTCAAATAATGACACTGCAAACAGTTCTGCTCAATGATCCAACAAAAATTTAGTAATATAGTTATCAGTCCTACACACTTGTTTTGTATCTTAGAGAGGGTAATATTAAACATAACAAAACAGATCAAAACAGTTCGTAAGGAAAAAAGTTAAAGAAACACAGATTTCAAAGCAAGTCCACTGAGATCTTCACTGTCTATCTTATTGTCTCTAGTTTTCTTCCAAATAGTTGTCCCCATCTTCACACACATTGAATATATACTGAACATTATAGAGCTAATCAAATCATTACAGGATGACGAAGGCTTTTTAGGTCTTCAAGACCTGACATTGGCGCAGTCAATAATGACTACCATAATGTCTCTCATTCTCTTCGTAGTAGCTGTCCTTATCTTACTTATGCTGAAACTGAACTTAAGAGACTAGACTAATATCACTATGATTAGTGAATGATAGTATTGCTAGATTTTATATCATAATGTTACAGAATTAGCACTGGGTTTCTTAGTGTCTCTTCTTCAGAGTATCTGTTCATTACATCGTATATTATATAATCTGTTCCCGTAAATAGTTTAGAAGTTCTTCCCATGTATGAATCTCTACATGTATATCTATGCTTGCTGTATTATAGGGAAAAACAGATCAAAACAAGACAACAAAACAAATTGCTATGAAATGCCAAAGACATATAAGACCACAATATTTGATGATCTACAGTAGTTACTATGTTATGCCTTGTTATTTTCAATAGAATTGTCCACATCATCAGGCATTATATAGGTAAGCATAGCATTACATAGCTATTTTTATAAAAACACAATTTTGAAGACATTGTAGGACTTGAAAGCAGTTAATAATCAAAACCGGTATCGATATCTTTTATATCTTGTCATCTTCAGAGTAGTTGCTTCTACTCGTAGACATGATACTATCAAGCATACCAAATTCGAATAAAATCAGTCAGGGCAAAACAGCAATCTAACAAACCAGCTTCAAATAAGATCAATAGTATTACAATGTAAGTAATACAGCGTTTAAGTTAATAGGAAATTAAGGATAGTTACCGTGGTATAACCTGCTATTTTGGGTTAGCTGTCTGTGCCCTGAAATCTAATATGAGTAGACAGACTAGAACAAAATATAATCAAACTAAACAGAGCAATAAGACTTCTGTGACGTTTAAATCTTGATACACTATTAACAATGTCCTCTGCCTTCCTTTTTTAGACAATTCCTCCCCTTTCCCTTTCTCAGGGTGCTTTGTATATTTTGGATCCCACTACCTCCTTTATTTTTACATTAGGAGGCCAACCTGTTACCTATCTGAGTGCTGCTAACCTTTTTACCCCTGAGCTTGATCTTGAGCTGTGCTCCTTTACTCACTAAAGTCACAAGGTTTTCCTTCCTTCCAGCAGTGTAGTTCTACGCTGCCCAAAAGTGTTATAGCTTTCCAGTCTATCTGCGGCTGCTGGATGAGTTGTCCCTATTTCTCTCTGGTTTCCTGTCACATATAGCATTGTTTTCTAAACTTTGACTCTCAGTTTATTAACCCTCTTTCAGGTTGAGTATATTTCCTATTCAGAGCATTTCGATGGAGCCTGCCTTCTAATCTACTCTGCCTGTGTTTCTTTTTTGTTAGTGTATCAAGGCTATCTATATTAAAGATTATAGCTTTCCGTCTCTGCCTCATCTCTGCTATTCTATTCTTCTGCTATTATTTGTCCACTTTACTCCTTCATTCCACTGTCTGCCCCATTCACTGAGGCCTCTCTGCCACTGTTGCTGGAATCCTGGTTTTTTTTCCTCTCTCTCTCTGGAATGTCCTTCAGGATTTTTTGTAGGGTTGGGGTGGTGGCCATGAATGCCCACAGTTCTTCCTTACCTTGGAAATGACTTGTTTCTGCATTAATTTTGAGAGAGAGTTTTTCCGAGTACATCAATCTTGGTTGGAGGTTATTTTCTTTCAGGGCTTGGACTATTTCCCCCAGGCTCTTCTTGATTTGAGAGTTTGTGTTAAAAAGTCTGTTATTATTTTGATAATTTTTCCTTTGTAGGTGATCTGCTTCTTTTCTCTGGTTGCTTTTAATATTCTGTTCTTATGGCAGATTTCTGGAATCTTGATTATTCTATGTCTGGGTGTAGATCTGTTTGGGTTGTAGGTGGCTGGAGTACTGTATGCCTCAATTACCTAGATATCATTTCTTTTTCCTATGCTTGGGAAATTTTCCTTAATTATAATCTGTGAATAGTGTTTGTAGTTCATTTGTGGTTACTCCTGCTTCTTCACTCATGTTTTTTATTCTTAAGTTATAAATCCTCTTGTCGTCTTCTAGCCTTTGAATTATTTCTTCCTGGTTCCTTGTTATTTTTAAGAGATCTTTTCTTTCATGATCACACATCATAAATCTCTCTTCAAATTTCAGAAGGCTAACTTCAGTTTCTGTCAAGGCATTTTTCCAGCATTCAATAGAGTTTTTAGTTACCTAGTAATCTCTTTGGATCTGCTTCATGTATTCTAGATTTTGTTTATATTCTTTACAAAGGTTTCTGTTCCTTTTCACAGTTCTTCTGGTCTTCCATCTGTGTTCACATGGGAAGAGCTTATCATTTCTTTAATTAATGTTTTTATATCTTGCCTCACTTGGATCAGAAGTACAGATTTAAATTCATCTATGAGGTCACAAAGGTATTTCTTTATGTCCGCTGATGCCATGTCTAATATTGCATGATTACTGCACTTGTTCTCTTCTGTATTTATCTTGCCCGGGCTTATTTTCCCAGGGTCAGTAGTTGGAGGTTGTTTTTTTTTTTTTTTTCCTATCTCTTGTCATGTTTCTGGTTTCTTTCAGCCAGGTGTCCTGGGCATCTCTGGCCCTCTCTGTATTACTTAGTGTCTTTCTGGGGCATGCTGTCAGTAGTTTTGCAGTTCTCCCCAATTTACTGTAATGTGAGGTACATGCAGGGATGCAGGGACGGTGCAAGGTAGCTTGGTGCCTCTGAGCCAGTCGACTCCCAAGTTCCATCAGAAACTTAGGCTATATCTTGTGGACATCACAGAGTTGTGACATTCTTGTTCCTGGCTGCTGGTTCCCAACCAGAGGCGAAGCTCAGGCGCAGCATATCCCATCAGTCCTCTCTGTGCCAGGGGCAGCCGACTGACACCACTGTTGCACCAGGCTCTGCACAACTCCAAGATGTCCTCCAGCCAGTGATAGCAGCTGTGGGACCCAATTCCCAGCAGTCACCAGGAATCAATGCAGTTCTCCATCTTAGCTCCACTCCATGCTGTGCCATGTGCCAAGGGCTTGGGACTCAGTAATTCCCACTATCAGCAGCCATGGCTTCAGCTTGACCTTAAATTGCCTGACTCCACAGTGCTCCCAGTACAATGTGGACTGGTCTCAGTGAGCATGTATGGCTCCAGCCTTCCACTGGCATTTTTCCTTCCTCCACAGAGGTAGATTCTAGCTTGATGTGGTTTTTCCATGTATAGATCAGCATCCTGCCTCTTCAGATAACTGAGCGGTGCCTGGCTTCAGCACCCAGGTGCATGGTCCTGTCTGCGGCCTTCTAATGTGCCACCAGGCAGCTCTGGCTGCTGCACATGGCCCAGGGACCCCCAACCCGTGAACTTTAAAGGATAAAATGTTGGATTTGGCTTACAGTTTGTAGAGGTTTGACTTGACTTGATGGGCCTGTTGCCTCCATGGTACGGTGGCATTGCAGAGGGCAATTACTCATGGTATAGCAATCACAGAGCAGTGGTTGATGAGGGATGAGGGATACAGAGTGACCCTTTCAGGCCAAATCCCCACATTCACCTGCTCTAAACTAAGGCTGAGGCTTTACCTCGCAATCTCACACTCAGGAATAAACTCATCAGCAGACTAATGCCCTGGTATCACATTCCCATGATCCACTTACATTCCCAAACCCCCACATATGAAAGCTTGAGGTCTTGCAGGGACATTAAGATGTAAGCTGTAATATCATGCCCTGAGCACAAAAACACTGATGCACATCCCTTTTTTCCAAAATTCCAGTGGCTTCAGGATTGTTGAAAAGTCTTAAGCCCAGAGTCTCCTCTGAGATTTAAGGGAAACTTCACTATAAGCCCATATATATATCAAACAGAAAGTTAAACATGGCCCAAATGCATGGGTATGAAGTAAACATTCACAGTCCGAAAAGGAGGGATAGGGAAACAGAAGCATATGGAAGAAAAGCAAGACTGAAGCCCAGCAGAGCAAACATTAAATCCTGTAGCTCCGTGTCCAGCACCCAGGACCAGCTGTGGTGCGTTGTGAGTTCCAAAGACCTTTGGTGGCCCTGAACCTGTGGCACTGCCTGTGTGAAGCCTTCATGGCTTTTCTCTTGCTCCAGCTTTGCTCCCTCCAGCTTCCCTCAGACACTGCATGTTCCTGGCTTCTCCAAAAGCTTAAGTTCTCTGCTGCTCTTTAACCTTATGCTCTGACAGCGTCCTGCATTGCCTTCTGTCTGGGGAGGAACTGCAAGAGCTCACAGCCCATTTCCCCAAATCTGAGTGGAAGGCATCCTGACCCCATAACTGTCACATTCTTTGTGCACCTAAAACCACAACCATTTCAATGTTTCTGAAGTCTGCCCCCAGCTGGAGCAGAGCTAACCCCTTTTGTATCATGCTGGTGGCTGCACAGCCTCTGAGAGCCTGGATGGCTGATGGTGGTCAGCTGACAACTGGGAACCCATGCATTCCATAGGCTGCCAACGCTGCACCCTCAGATGATTTTCAAAGCAAAGTCCTTCACTTACCCACCCTTAAGTTTGTGAAAGGTGGAATCTTTCAGATTCCTCCCAAGGCCTTTCCTCAAGGCAATCATTGTTTTGTCCAGATCCAAAATACAGGCAAACAGCAGTTGTGACAAATTGCAAAAACTTTGTTTTCCAAACAAAAGTGTTTGGCAAAATTTTGCTTTTGCTTGTGAACTCTCCATCAGGTGACAAACACCACTGAGGCTATCTTTCCTGCATGAATAGGAACGTGGCTGTCTTCACTGAACTTCACTGAGTCATGAATGAATTTAGTTGCCTAACTGAGCTATCACTGTACTTGGATTCTTTTGCATGGGTATCAAGTTTGGTTTTGTAGCAACCAAACTCTCCTACATTTCATTTTGCAGCCTCCTGCTTTACTGGAGCTTGTTTTCTGGCCAAACTCTTAACATTTAAAATCATTATGCTGGGCCTTTTACACTTGATTCTCAGATCTGCCTAAAACCACCAACACCACCCATGCCACCACCTCAACCTTGGTCAGCCTTGAAATTTCTTTTTCCAGTGAATTGGTCTTCCATCTCCCACTCCTGCAAAGTCTCAGGAAAGGAGCAAAATGCAGACAAATGTTTCGCTCCAGCATAACACACATGGCTTAGACTACAGATGCCAATGCAGTCTTTGTTCTCCAATGAAACCTCCCAGCACGGTCCTTTCCATTGGCTTCTTTATCAGTCTTCTGGCCTTGTGGACTATAACCAGAATCACTCAAGCTTGGTTTACACCATTCTGGGGCTGTTTTCCATCCTCCACCTCCAAATCCCTCTCACAGGCCAATTCCAAAGGCTTCTACATCACGTGATCAGGTAATGCCACAGCGACCACTGCACTTTCCTGCCACCAAGATGTGTTAGTCACTTCTTCACCACTGAGACACACACAGCTCAGAGGAGGAAAGGTTTACTGACCCTCAGTTTGTAGAGGTTTTAGTCATAGCTCACAGGCTCCAGAGCCAGATGGCAGGGGAGAGGGGAATGGCAGAGGACAAAGAGCTCATGACATGGCCATCCATGACCCCAGTAACACACTCCTCTGACCAGCCTTTAAACCCCAAAATCACATTTAGCTCTAAATTCATCTGCGGGACTAACCCCCTGGTGAGTATCAGGCCCTCACAATCCAGTCGCCTCCCAAAGCATCACCATGACCACATGACGCTTTGAGGGCACATGCAGACAGAAGCCGTAGCGAGGAGCATCTTCACTACACTGGAAATGTGCTGTGCTGCGCATTTTCACTGACAGCAAACCCAGGTGACCACTGGAGTTTCAGTTTTTTCTATTATTTTGTCTTTTCCACAGTCTCATATAACTGGAATCACTCAACATAGTCTTTTGACTTCTTTCATATACAAACATGCATTTAAGGCTTAGCCTCTTTCCAATCTCTTCATGCTTCTGTGTCTCATTTCTTTGGGCTGCTAAACAGTATCTCCCTAGAGCAATGAGAGCTTAACAAACAGGTCACACTGAGGAACTTCCTGCGACTGAACCTTTTAGAAACGTGGACCTGCAAGTTTTTGGACAAACCTGACTTTTCAAGTATTTTGGGTAACTGTCACGAGACCTCAGTGCTCAGTATGTTTCTTTGTGTAGCAACGCTGCCGAGCTGTCTTCCAAACAGGGCCACCATTTTGAATTTCCGCCTGCAGTGCAGTGTGTCTGTCTGTCCCTCATCCTCGCCAGCATTTGCTGGTGTCAGTGTTCAGACTGCGACCAGCCCCGCTGGCCTGTGGTGGTTTCTCCTTACTGTTTCCCTTTGGATGGCCTCGCAGCATATAGCAGCGAGTGCGTTTCCCCCCCGCACATCTTCTCCAGGGAGGTGCGTACTGAGGTCCCTGTCCGAATTTGTAATGCTGTCGCCTGTTTTCTCATCGTTCAGTTTTAGAGTCCTTCATGCTTGTGGTTCTATAGTCACTCAGGTGAGTGCTTGCTTTGTTTTATTTTTTATTGTTTGATTTGCATCACAGGAGAGTGCATCCAGGGCATCACCACTGAGGCACATCCTTGACCGTTTTTCCTTTTCTTTTTTTACTCTGAGCCAGGGTCTCATGTTGGACTTAAACTTTTGAACTTTGCTTCCCTTACCTGCGTGCTGGAGTCACTGCTGTGCACCCAGAGGCAGCTCTTCAGCCAACAGGCTTTGCAGGCACTGACCCACCTTTAACTCTCGTGATGATGTCTTCTATATACAATACTTTTAAAATTTTAAGAAAGTCCACCTTATCAGATGTATGTCTCATAGATTGTTCAATATTGTATCCAAAATCAACACCATACTCTGGGTCATACAGGATTTCTTTTTCTTCTTGGACTTTCATGATTTTAAAGGTAATGCATAAGCCTTATGTTAATTAATTTTTGTGAGGGGTATAAGGTCTGTATCCACACGTACTTTCTTGCGTGTGGATAATCATTACAGCGCTTCTTCTATCCAGGGTACCTTTGACTTATTGTATGTGCTTGCTTGCCTTCAAGTGGTTCTGCTTCTGGACTGCTCTGTCCCATTTGTCCCTCCATCATTTCTTTCACACTGTCCATCAGACTGTTTGATGAGTGCAGCTTTAGAGTGACCCCAAGGCCAGGTGCTGCTGTCACGCTGTGGGTGGGTAGCAATCTGGTGATGGTCTGCTGCTGCCTTTTCGGATAGTCCCAAAGAAAACATCATTTTCCCAACAAAAATAACTAAGACATTATGAACAAAGTGGAAGGGGCAGGACCGTGGGAATGGAAAGCCAGAACTTGAAGTCCACGAAGGATTGTTCAGGCAGAGGGCAGCCCAGCCTGGGTAGGCCCAAGTCTGCACTCACACCAGGAGTCCCGGGAACACCTGGGAAGAGGAAGGGGAGGGTTCTGCAGTTACAGTGTGAGGGTGGGGATGAGGATCTGCTTTGTCTTAACAGAAAATCCAAGGTCTTCCCTGAAGAGTTGACTTCTGACCTCCCCGTGTCCTTCCTCCAGTACCTGGACTGCTCACAGCCATGGGTCAGGCCTCCTCCTCCTCCACAAACCCCGATACAGGCGAGAATGGTGACTTAGCCTCCAGCTTTGAGGAGTATTTCAAAAATATCACAATGGAAACTAAAATCCTGACCAACAAAGATCAGGATATGATTAAGTTGTATCTGCAGCAGGGAGACGTCCAGAAGGCAGCTTCTGTAATCAACGCTGTCCTGAAAGACATCGAGAATGCTCCACTGAGCATCGCAGTGACCGGGGAGGGCGGGTCAGGAAAATCCACTCTGATCAATGCCCTGCGTGGGGTGGCCCACGAGGATGAAGGAGCAGCTGCCACTGGGCTAACCGAGACCACCACGGAAGGGACTGAGTACAGACACCCCAAGTTTCCCAATGTCTCAATATGGGACCTGCCTGGTGTTGGGACCACGAAATTCTCTCCTGAAAAATATCTAAAGAAAGTAAATTTTGCTGACTATGACCTTTTCCTGATCGTCTCTTGCACCCGCTTCAAAAACAATGATGCACACTTGGCCAAAGCCATTGCAAAAATGAAGAAGAAATTCTATTTTGTTCGAACAAAAATTGATATTGATTTAAGCAATGAGGAAAGAGCAAAACCACGAAACTTCAATAAGGAGAAACTCCTGGAAAAGATGCGAAATGATATTGTGACCCAATTGAAGGCTGCTGGAGTGTCTGCGGCTCAGATCTTCTTAATTTCCAGCCTTGATGTGGGTGACTATGACTTTCCTGAGATGGAGAGGACCCTTCTGAGGGACCTGCCAGCTCACAAGCGTCATGTCTTCAGGATGAGCCTGCCCAGCCTTACGGAACCTGCCATTAATCAGAAGACAGATTCCCTGAAGCAGAAGATCTGGCTGGAGGCCCTGAAGGTCGGAGCAACAGCCACTGTCCCTCTCGTGGGCCTCTTCAGTGACAGTGAAAGAAAGAAGCTGGAGGACACCCTGGGCCTGTACAGGTCCCACTTTGGGCTGGATGACGAATCCCTAGAAAAGATGCCCCAGGATTTGCACGTGTCCGCGGAGGACCTCAAGGCAAACCTTCAGTATCCCAGCTTGGTGTCAGCCGAGAGCAATGAGTCCTTCTCAGAGAAGATGATGCAGATTGTTCAGACGGTTCTTTCAGTCACCGGAGGACCCATCGCCACCGGCCTGTACTTCACAAAGACCTTTTATATACATAATTATTTCCTTGACACTGTGGCAAATCATGCGAAAGTTCTCCTTGATAAAGAAGATCTTTTTGGTGCCTCTGCTGACTCTGTGGAAGGCTACCAAGAATAAGGAAACTGAGGCAGCCAGCGGCCTCCTCCGCCTTGCTGCTCAAGTGGGCCTGAGCCCTGGGAAGCCGGCTTAGGGCTCTCGGAAGCAGCCAGGCCGGCCTGCAATACACACACATGCGATCTTTCTTTAGAAAATTAAGTCTAGCAAACTGGCATTTTATGCTAAAAGAGCCAGACATTCGCTGGGTTCTGGTTCCTTCACACTCAGGGCTCTTCTCTACGATGATTTAACTGTTAACACTTGCTGACACACAATAAGACAAAAACAGGGCTTTGAATAAATGTGTACACAGCATGTCTTTATTATTCCTGATATTCTGCTCCAAATCTATACATTGAGATCATTAACAGGACAATGGATGCTGACTGCATCTCCTTGCAAGTAAAGGATGAAAACAACTTAGAAGTGCCAAGCAGCTGTCCTGAGGAAAGAGAGGTCCCGGATAGAGATGGGGACAAAGACGGCCTCGGCGCGATGAAAACAAATGCTTGGTCAACTCTGACGCTTGCTAAGGAACACACTCGGTATTTTGAAGACTGGTATGCCAGGGAGAGACGCAGCAGCCTACGTGTATATATATATATAATATATATATATATATTATATATATATATATAATGCCAGGGAAGATGTGGTACAGTACAAAGACCTTGTATCTAATACTCTCTGCAGGAAAAACAAGAAAGAAAGAAAAATAATGAAGCTAGGCAATGAACCTCTGACTGCTAAGCCACGTGCAGGTACTGTGTACTTCGCAGTGGCGATCCAAACACAGCAGTAAGAAACTTTCTTGCTTAAACCCCAGAAATCTACCAAAAAGGGCTCAGGAAGTACTGAGAGCACCAGCCCACGTTAAATGATACTTTGAGGACCGAATAACCAAAATCAGCACAGAACAGGAAACTGCAAAGCAGGTTTTCTTTAGTGATTGTGAAGCGAACAAAAACACAGCAGGGGCAGCAGCAGACTCAAGGACAGAAGCGAGACGAGACAGAAGTGGACATTGTGTGGCACCTGGCTCGCGGATTAACCCTGATGAGAACTGTGCAGGGCAAAACCGGGTGCTTTCCCATGCTGAGGAATAACTATCAATTTTTATGATGATAATTGCTTTGTTCTTAGACTTATAATAATATCCTTATTTTCTGTCAATATATTTAAGGTGCGCAGAAATAGAAATTCCATTAAAAATCATGGTGGGAAATTGCCACAGGTGAAAGGAATCTGCAGGTGTTGATAATTACTAAGCTGTGGGATACAGCTGTGATTATGCTCTCTGCCTGGCTTCATGTGGCCTTTCCACTAAAGGCTACATGTAAGACTTCCAACAACCCAGAGAGCAGAATTTTGAACCCCCAAAATAACACTCTTTAGAAAGCCAGTTTAGTGCGCCTCGTTGACAAGGCAGTGGGATCTCCCTGTTGGAAGCTTTAGCCAAACCTGTCTTGGGGATCCAGGAAAAGAGCCAGCAGAATGATTTAAAAAGTTCTAAGTTTGTTCACAATAAAGCACCAGTAAACCTAGCTAGAGCAGAGGAGAAGGTTGCTGAGGTTGAATAGGAAACCATAAAAGATGGTCTGAGGCCAGCACAGGAGAGAGCAGGATTCCAGCCTTGACAGCCTTGAGGTTATCAAGGTGGAAGCAGGTGCTCGGAGAGGAGCACCCCCGAGAACCATGCCCAGAATGCTGGCACCTGGACAGTTTTATCCTAGAGACTGGGTGCCGAGCGCTCAGCAATCCAAGCATTCGACCCTGACACCCCAGAGAGAAAGAAGCCTGGCTGCTGCTCTAGCTGGGGACAGACATTGGATGACCCCATAGTGGTGGTTTTATGAAGAGGACCACCTGGAGGGCTCTCCTTGAATAAAGATTGATTCCCTCCACCCTCGTGAACCTGCTCTCTCTCCATGTACTGATAGGTACAGAGCTGGCTAGGCCATTTCCTTTCCCTTAGTTGGCTCTAAGCAATGTAGACATGGCTGGCTGAAGGACTGATGTGGAATCTTTGAAGCCAACCCAGTGTTTATCTAAATGGTTGAGCCCAGTGGGATGCAGAGCCACTATTCTAGGGCTGTTGGCTGGGTTCAAGCCTCTAGATAAGAGGCTATGTCTTCCCAGGGCACAACATTTTACACATCAGAACTGAGGTACTGCCCCCTGAACATTAACTGCTACCCCAACTGTGTTATGCAGACTGGTCTTTCTGTATACCCTTCTCTCTGCCTACTGCAGAGGTACGTTCTGGCGTCCTGCCCAGCCCAGCTCACAAACTCATTCAATTCCCACCATTCTCGGTCACTCATCCTCGAGCCACTCCCTTCTTCACCAGTTAACAACATCTAGGTCGGTCCCTGGGTCAAGGCCTTTGTTCCGTGAACCTCGATCCGGACCAGACTCTGGACCCCTTGTCTGCCCGTATGTGTAAATATGTCTGAGTGTGTTTATTCTCGCCCTGGGTTGCACTGGAGGCAGTAGATTGGAATCAACTTAGCAGAATTCCAATACTGTTCCCATGTCAGGCCGTGATGAGGGTGAGAAAAGGGGCCTCCAGTTTTAGGTGCATGTAGGATGTAAGAATTGTGGGATCAGGAAGGCTTCCATGCAGATGTCTGAAGAGGGGCTGGGCGAGCAGGCACTGTGCCCCTGAGTGTGAGTGTGAGGACGAAAGTGCAGTGGAGACTCCAGAAGTCTGGGGAAGCCAGGAACACTGATCATCTGAGGAACACTGCAGCAGGGAACAGAGCCAAGCCCAGAGGAAAGCCCTGGAGGTGCATCCACAGCAGTGCTGTTGGGGCCGCATCACCCAACCCTTCACGTCTACATCTTGCCAAAGGTTGCCTCTGATACTGCACGTGGAAAAACAGGACTTACTATTTTTCTGCTGGGTTTTGGCCTTGCTTTGTTCCCATTCCTAGCTATTGCACTGTTTGTAACTTTTGGAATGAAAATGTCTATCTTGTGCCATTAAAGTTAGACACGTTTAACCTTCTTTTCATTTGTAAGGGGCTCAGAGCTAAGAGTTCACCTTAAACCTCAGGAGACTTGTGACTGGTTCTTTTCAGCAACTGTTAGGATTTTTGGCAGCTCTTGGATACGAAATAAATGCCTTTTGCATGAAGGGATGTACATGAATCTTTGGGGGCCCAAGGGCAGAATGGTAAGGCTTGTATGCAGGAGTTCCCCGAAAGCCTCGTGCGGTCATAGGTGGGCCTTTGCGGATGGCTGGATCTCCAGAGTGTGATGCTGGGACTGGGGCACGTGACTCCTAAACCACTGCTGGGTTAGCATAGCTCTGGGTGGGACTAGAGGCACACGGGAGGGGAAGAGGGCTGTCTCTTCGTGTTGCCACTTGCTTGATTTGCTACTTTCACCCCCAAAGGAACTGCTTGTCCTCCGCCTGCCCCTCTGCCAGGCCACAGCCCACCTTGGAGCCTTCCAATTACGGACTTTACAGATGGTGGCCTAAGTAACCCTTTCCTGCCATAGATTTTGGTGTCAAGTATTTTGTCTCAGTCAAGTCACCTCGCCATTCCATCCTCATTTAAAAAGCTCCTCTGAGTCAGGCAGTTGCTTTTATAACCTCCAACCAGCCCTGCCCCACATGTGTACACAATTACAGTCACACGGTAGTGTCCCCAGAAGGGGGACAGAAGAAGGGAAAGCGAGCTAGAAAGCGGAGAAGGAAATCAAGATTTAAAAACTTCGACTTCTGGGACACCAAGTCTCCTTGGAGCTGTCAGGCTGAGGATGGCACCCTATCCCGGGAGGGTGGGGGCTGCTCCCCTGGGAGAGGCTGTGGAGTCCTGTGTTTCCCCAGACCCTGCCCTGAGTGAGCCCTTTACACCCACACCACAGTGGGAAGGACAGCAGTTTCCACATTTCAGTGAATTAGTCTAGGAAACGGTTGAATTCGAATCCCTTAATTATTTTGTCTTATTCCCTAGAGTCTCAAGAATTGCTAAAAAATACCAGTGCTTTAAAAAAAGAAGAAGAAGAAGAAGAGGACAAACATCTTTCATCATAGAAATTCCAAGGCTTTTTGAAATCTGTGCCTGGGATCAGGTGACAGATCACGGCTGCTACTGAAGTGGCCTCACTGCTGTAGACTCTGCTCCATGACACTGCACAGGAAGGCGTGAGGGCCATCAGACCAGGAGTTAGCTGTGTCTGGACACGGTAGTTCGAATTCTGCCTCAGCTGAGAGTGCTGAGGCTGATCTTTCTGTCCCCAGCACACCATGCCCTGGAGAATAGTGCACGTCACTCACTGTCACCCCAACAGCAGAATAAGTGGCCACGGTGCTCCTCGCTTTCACTACCTAGAAATGGCTGTTACTAGGAAGAACATTCCAGAGCCCAGTTTCGCTTTCTTGTTCCTGGAATCTCAGTGCTCTCCACTTTGAGCTCCTCTTATGCCCAGGTTTGCCCAGATCTCTGCCTGAGGAGGGTGGAGCCAGAGCTGATTAAGTCCTCAGCTCCTCACTCAGGATGCTGTCCTTTGTGCTGACAGTCAGCACAGTTTGCCTCCGTGCTGGCCACCTGAACCCTGCCCTACCCTGCCCTGCCCTGCCCTGCCCTACCCTACCCTGCCCTGCTCAAGGAGGACAGGCATGGACAGAAGGTATTTCCTGTGCCCAGGCTTCCCCACACAGTACATTCGGCTCTTCTGGCTGAGCTTTAGGAGCTCAACTCTGACACCAGAAACCTGTTTTCTCCAAGGACCTGGTGACTGAGAAAATATTTTGGAATTACTGGACACCTAAGAATAGGTTGCTCAGGGGGTGTGAGGGGGAAAGAAATGTTTGCTCAGTTTGGGCTGTAAGGGGTACGCAAGCAGAGGAGGGTTGGTGCATGGACAGCTGTAAACCACACAGACAGTGCAAGCATTCGGATACTTGCAGGCAGCAGTCACAGACAGGCTTCCCCCTTGCACTGCTGAAGGACCCTGTGAAAGACAGCAGGGTCAGCGGGCAGGGCCTTCACCGAGAACCTCTGGCAGCACACATCCCCGACTCACACCTAGACACTCAATCAGAGCACAGGGCTCTCATCAAACCAGAGGTGCTGAGGGGCCCGTGTTTTCTACTCCAATCCCTGGATGGACTTCTCCCCACCAAATGCTGCCTTGGCCTTTGGCTCTTGCTAAAGAGCTCTGCACTTGGGGGGACTTTCCCTTGGATCCCAGCCCTGACCTTGGTTTGCTAAGGATTAGATCACAGTTAGGACACAACCTGTCAGAGTCCTTGAGCCTTCATGTGACTGGGAGGAACCTTAGAATGGTCTTGCACAGCCACCAGGATGCCAGGAGGATTTATGAATGGATATCCACTCAAGGCCCTTAATAAATCCTCCTCCCCCTCTCCCCTGTCTCTCTCCACCTCACACTCCGTGAGCGCAGTCTGAATGGCTCTAGGACGAGGGGACAGGCACCTTGGGAAGGGCTCTGCCCAGCTGCCACAAGTGGACTGTTGAGAAGGAAGTAGTCATAAGCACTGTGAAATGATGTGGGAGAGAGCACAGCAGCATGGGTGTTGTGTGGCTGACATTCGCACAGGGGCAGAAGTGGATGTCCACCTCTGTTTCCTCCAGTTCCTGGCACTGGACCCCCACTCTCCCTGTCTGCTCAGTTCTTCAGGACCAGCCTCCGCACACACGCCCATGCCCTCCCACGTGTCCTCCCCACTGACATCCCCTGGAAACGCCCAGCACTGAGCCAACGTGTGTCGTGGCTGAGGTGCCCCTAGTCGGTTCCCCTTTGGTTGCATGTGGCTGTCCAGCTCCCTGGCTTGCTGGCTGTATACTGTAAAACACTTTATTTCTCAAAGGAGCTCCAGGGAGCTGCTTTACACACAGCAAGGAGAGGCCTCTCTAGCTGCCAGCTGGCAAGGTCTCCCCTCTTGTTTATGAGAAGAGGAGCCCGTGGCACCAACTCCATGTCCATTAGTGGCTAAGCGGTCACTCATCCACCTGGTGACACCAGGGCTTCCCCAGTCCCCTTGCTTAGAATATGCTTCCATCCATTGCCTTAGACACCAAACAACATCCTATGTACCTTCCCACTGTGTCTTTATTCTAGAGTCCTGGACTGCTCACAGCCATGGGCCAACTGTTTTCCGCAGACTCCAGCACAGAGAGCAAGACCTTAGCCTCCAGCTTCAAGGAGTATTTTAAAAATTTCAATCAGGAAAGCAAAGTCCTCTCAGAGGAAGTCAGGGTGTTGATTCAGTACTTTCTGGAGAAAGGGGACGTTCCAAAAGCAGTTTCTATAGTTAGCTCTGCTTTGAAAGACATTGAAAATGCTCCACTGAGCATAGCAGTGACAGGGGAGGGTGGAACAGGAACGTCTACTCTGATCAATGCCCTGCGGGACATGGGGAATGAAGAGGAAGGTTCTGCTCAAACTGGGCCAACACAGACCACCACGGAGAGAACAGCATACAAACACCCCAAGTTTCCCAGTATAACAATATAGGACCTGCCTGGCCTGGGGACCACCAACTGCCCTCCAGAAACTTACCTGCAGAAAGTGAAGTTCGCTGAATATGACTTTTTCCTGATCTTTTCTGAAAGAATATTGTCCCAGATGGGACACTGTAGCTGGTGAAGCCTTAGAGGCACAACAGGTCTATCTTGAGGTCACCTTTTCCTGCCCCTAGGCAATTTCCCTGTGGAGCCAAATGAATACCAATGGGCTCCCGTGCATCACTAATGCCCTTTAGGCACCACAACAAGCCTAAGCTACACGTGTGCCCCCAAACCTTGTGTCCCTCAGAGAGAATGCCAGACCCTGGAGAGTCAGGGGGTCACTCCCCACATTCTTAAAATAAATGTCATTTTATTTTCATACTTCTTATGTTTTCAGGCACGCCGAAAATCCTATCAGATGGATCCGTTCCGCGCCCAAAATTCTATCATCCAGTGCCCATTTGGGTCTCATAATGACCACACCAAAAAGCTGCCCCTGGACCTACCACGTGCAGGGTTCCAATCTTAACCTTGGTGTGTTAGTGTAATGCAATCTCAGACACTGGACCTGAAGATGCCCAGTGGGCAGCTGAAGCTTGGCACCTCTGCCTTCATTGTTCCCTCTACGTGACTACTTTAAAACTTTGGGTCAGAGCCCTGCTTGGCCCTGCACGTAGGCGCACTGAATACTTAAGGAGTGTCTCTAATACGAGGAGTGTTAGCCCTGAATTTATCAAGCCTGTCTCCCTCCTTCACTATTGAAGACACCATGGTGAGAGTAACTGAAACAATCATTTCCAGGGATGGTTGGGACACCCAATTCCAATGCCCAGTTCCAGGGCCAGCCATGACAAAGCTCCAGCCACTGTCTTAAATGTGCAGTCATCTCGAATATCTGGAACCTTGTGGGCCACGCTGTGATGAGACCACTGTCTCCTAGCTGGAGCAGCTACTTGGTGAGCGCTGTGCCCTCCGCTCCCCATGTGTGAGCAAGTACCTCACGGCCCCTCAAGCCACAGGATCTGTCTACTAGTGCAGAACCAAGATGGAGGTACCGAGCAGCCAGACCCCAGCCCCCCACAGCTCAGTGAACACTCATTCCCATTTTTGTCTGATTTTCTGAGGTCTGTATTGCCTTCAGTTCTCCAGACTGAAGTCTTTTTCTCTCTTCTCTTCCTTTCCTTTAGGAAGGGCCAGGCTTGAGTGCTATCAACTCCTGAAGCTAAAGTCACTTGCCAGTTTCTCTTGCTCTCCAATTAAAATGTGTTCCTACGAATTCTTGCTGGATGCAAGCTTTAAGGTCTCTGCACTAGCTGGGGGCATTGGGAGTAGCCCAAGAGTGTAGGTAATGCAGCCAACCATCAGGAAGTCAGCAGTGCCAGGCCTTTTGCCAAGGAAGAATGCTGGTCCAGAGCCTCTCAGGTGCTGGAATGGACAGCAGGGAGTGAGCAGAAGACCAGTGAGGGAAGCTTAATCTGTACTCCCAGCCACTCTTTCATGGTCTCATCACAGCCTGAGCTCCACCTCCTGTTGGTTTGCAGCAGCGTTAGATTCTCTGGGAGCTCAAACCATGTAGGTGCACACAGGAAATCTGGGTTATGTGCTCCTTATACAAATCTAAGCCCGAAATCATCTCTCCCCATCTTTCACCCCA